GGAAGTAATGAAATTTCCGGTTTAAAAAGCAGGGAAAATGGTTGTCATGCTTTCCCTGGACATCAGCAAAGCCTATGACTGTGTCAACTTGATTAAGCTTGGTAGAATTCTCTTAAACTTTTCGATTCCTCTTCAAATGCGGCTGTAGATACTTAATTTTTTATCCAAGCGTGTGTTGGTGATGGGTACTGAAAAAATTGAAATATACGGTGGTATTCCATGAGGCAGTTGTTTAAGCCCCATACTCTTCAATCTATAAGCAGATTCTTTGCATGATCTTCAAGACGACGCAACTCATATTTCTCAATATGCAGATGCTTTCCTAATTGTATCTGCGGACTCATCTTTTTCAGCTGCTGGCAATAACCTCTGGATGAAAGCGAACTTGTTTTTCGATGCATGCGCTGATCTTAATTTATATATTAACCCGAGTAAAACAAATACTATTTATTTTGCCAAAGCTTCTAAACGTGAAATCAGACTACTTATCAAAGGTACCAAGTTAATCAGGTAAAATCTCTTCGATTTCTTGGGAGAATTTTAAATGACAGCTTAACCATTCGTGGGCATTATGGAAAGGCGTTCAAAGACTGTCAGTCTGGATGCAACATCATCAAATTCATGACAAACAATCAGGCAGGCTTGCCTCCCAAAAATGCTTTGACCGTTTACAAATTTCTGGTCAGGTCCAAAATTGAATTTGGACATTCCACATGTTGCAATTTTCTAAAATATATTGAGAATCGTGTACAAGCATTTGAGAGCAGAATATTCAATATATTCTCAATGTCATATCTGGTGAGTGGCCCGTTTACGAAAGAGCCCGTTTTTGCACTGCCAAAGAGTTAATTAAAGTCAAGATGATAAATCCTTCCTTTTTTCACGAAATTATATCTCTCAGTGATAATGTCACTTGCAGCTATACTTTTTGCTATCAAAATCTTTGTCATATTTTTGATAAGTTAGACTCAATTCCTCCCTTGATTCCATTACCAGCAAATGCAGAGTCTTCATGAACATTCTCGAATCGATCTCTACCTCAAAACAAAATGTCAACTTCTCTTGTATGAGGATGTTATGCCAAGAAGAGGTCCTTTTTTATTACATATCTAAAAGAGTACATCAAGTCAAAGTGGCGGAGAAACTTTCCTAAGTTTTTATTGAGTTGCTCGCCATTCGTCATGGTATTAAGGTTGCTATCTCCGATGGTATCAGAACGTTTGCTATGCTATCTGACAGCAGGTCAGCTCTACTTCTAACAAATAAAAGAGATGCAGAGAATCAATATGTGTTTGATATTCATAAGATGTTGCATGAATCTCAAGTAGATGACTTTCACCTCGGTTGGGTACCTGGCCACTGCGGTTTTTTTTAAAACTCAACAAACACAATTACACACACACACACAATTACGCTTAACATGCTGGCTCCAGTTATTACGGCCGCTCTTTTTTTGTGTTACGTTTTGTACATACTCCATTCAACATACCAAAAAAAATGCATTAATTTAGATACGGTTTTTCGGAAATTTTAAAGGAAGATCCAAGACTGAAACTGATGAACTCCTTTAGAAATTGCATCATGGATTATTCGTCTTCTTTACCGATTCATCGGATATCGAATGTTCATTTTTAGAAACTGTCTGTGTTACAAATTCAGAGAGACTTTACCTTTGAACTTTCGAAATTCTAAAAGACTTTCCATTCGATTTTTAGAAATTCTTAGATACCCTTGTAGTGCTTTTTGGTTCAAGATTTATGCAACAGTTATGCGATGAAAAGATGGTGGGGGAAAAATGATATAATACATTAACGTTTACATTTGTCAACAATCGAGCAACAGATTTATATTAGCAAATACTTCCTACTACTACTTCCTGCTATTTAACTCTTTAAGAGAAGATGAAATATTAAGTTGTGAATATTCTTCATTATCTTTCAGTAATTCAACTGAAACTGGTTTCACTGCCATTGGCAAAAGGCAATTTTCCAAAAAAAAATCGCATATTTTCAAAAGATTATAACGGGCCTTGATTTATGACAAAGAAAAATGTTATTATTCAAAAGGTTTTTAAGGAAAATCTTCCCAATAAATCCAAAACAATCAAATAATCTTAACGCATCTCCAAGTGTTTAATGCTGTTGATGTGCCTACCGTTTTCAATTTACTTACGGAAACCGTAAGCGAATCGTATGAGTTACTATAAACACGTCCTGTACATCCGCACCAATTATTTTTACGAAAACACAATAAATTTGAACTACACCAATTATTTATTAATTTATTAATTTACATTTTATTTGTCGTGCCATACAGACACATGCACGCGTGTAGCGCCTCGGCGCCTCATGCTGCGCTTGTTATTTGGGCGGGGCGGGGGCGTCTTCCTCGACGTCTCCTTGGGCTGCGGTTGTTCTCTGTACGAACATCTCAACGCCGCTTGGCGTATAGTTTCATAACAAAGATTCTCCCCAACCAAAACATGACAGGCTTGAAGCATCTTTAAAGTAAAGCGTTCGAAATTTGCATTAAGAGAATATATTCTTCGCTGCGTGCGTGCTCTGGTCATTTATTAAATAAATAGACCTTTCAATCTCTATCTTCCAATACTAAATGATTCTCTAAAACTTTTCTTTTTAACTATTTTTATTATCGCATCGTAGGCATTACAGAAATTATTGAGAAGAAATTTAACTCAGAGAAGCGCAGAATGCTCGATTAAAATGACAGTAAATGCTGAATCATAACCTAACCAGCAAATCTCCACATTCGTACGGAGATTCTTGCATTTGCATTTTGCTCCAGAAACTCTTCACATCTTCGCTTTACCCATTCAATTTCAAACAAATCCGATGCACGCAGTAACTCCCGAACATTATTTTGAGTAATTGTAACAGTGCCGGTGTAAATGTACTCAACAAGTTCCTTTACTGAAGTTAATTCGACATTCTCCAACGTAAGAGTACTTACGCCCTTCAAATCAGCTGCAAAGGCAAAAGTAGAAAAGATTTAAAAATTTTCACGCAAGCGTTATATTTGCACTTTACTGGAATCACTTACTTCCGAATCTAGCCGAAAAGTAAGGTGAAACAACTGCGAGCGCGCACTTATGAACATGGAGAGTTTCACCGCCTATGTCTAAGGAAAAATCACAATACTGCAAAATCGAATAGTTATGTATTAGCTTTCGCAAGTTGCGGTTATGCATTATCTCCTCTTACCATTCGACGGAGACGCAATCTATTTAAACTTTCGAGGAAAGAGTTAGCGTAGTTGTCGTTTTCTACTCTCTCCTCAACGGGCGGTTTAACTTCATCATCTGCATTTTTAACAAGCATCCTGTGGGAAAATATATAAGTCGAATATGAAACTTTGAATACTTCTTTCCGATCAAAATATTTAAGGGATAAAGGCAGTGCAAATTTCTCAAAAGATCAATTTTTTTTTATTTTAAACGGTTAAAAATGAGATAAAAAGGTAAATGTGGGCGTGCTAAAATTTTAAATGGTTAGCGGGTTAAAAGATATGATTTGTCTTCGCTTGAAACTTGATATGCGTTTTTCTCGAAATACGATTTTTAAAATCGACACAAATAAGAAATGAAATTTTTTTTTTTTTTAGCCAAATGTTTTTGATAATATATTTAAAATAACATTTATTTATTACCATTAATTCCATTATACCATATATCAACAACGTGTTTTCTTGTAAAACATATAAGATATTTCCGATAATTTAATTGCAAATTACTTTTGTTATTGTCATTTTTTTGGTTCAAAATTGAAATTTTCAGCTAAAACAGCCGCCAATCGTACAAATGTTTCTGCAAAATTCCACATATAATCCTCGCTATAGGCACATGAATTAAATGAACTTACTGGCAAAGTTTTATATAGACCTACTTATATACAAATATATACATATCTATCTACTTATATCTATGTAGATATATATATATATATATTTATGGATATATTTGTGTACCTTTTTATACCTAAAAAAAAGATGCTTAGCGATGGCAATTTTAGTTGATTTACTGTAAAAAATGTGATACCAGAAAGCATTAAAAAACAAGCTGTATGCGCATAGTTAACTGTGGACGCATCAGTAAGCCCACAATTTGGATTGAACCCGAAGGTGATCGTCACTAACGCCTGGATTACAAGTTTTCAGAAATATCGTCACGAACTCGAAAGTTCCACTTGTCATTTTTTAATATTTTTCTGAAACATATATATATATTTATATATATTTATTATTAAATACACTTGTAAAGATTTCATCTAACATTACTACTCTATTACGTTTACTTGTCAACAATCGTTTCCTTTTTAGGCTACTACAGTAGCGTTATCCCGTAATTTAGGGGGCATTATTCTAGACCAAAAGAAGTACATGAGAACGAAGTTAAGAAGCACGTGTGTATAAAAACTTGTGCAAAGCATTTTCGTATCAAGATCGATGATCTATGAATGCCTTCGCGAATACTTTGCTTTGTAGCAATTGTTTTGATTTACACATATATTGATTTGGGAATTTGCCGTAAGTAAATAAAGTTGAAAACAATCAATGTAAGAAACTTGAGCTATTCATCTGTGACTAATCTTTTAAAAGAAAGTTCTCTATTTCTTGATATTGATGTTCTATAGATTATAAAAATAGTATATGCATTTTTATTGTCATGTTGGTGAATTAAAACCCGCTAAGGATTCTTTGAGAAATACCTCAGGTATGAAACGCGTAGCTAGTTACCGGCTTTTTATGTATTATTATAAAAGCCATGTAATCAAGTAAAGCGGGTATAAAAAAATAGCTACTGATTTCTTTTTTACTCTTTAAATGTTTTTTGCTCGTGATAGGCAAATAAAACAATGCAGTTTCTTGTACTTTCGTACACGAAGAGCATTTCATTGTTTTACTTCGAGTCACTCTTTTTCGTTACGCTTTACCTTTAGTACCTGCAGGATTTTTTTTTAACCGTTAAGTTAGATAAGTGAGATTTGCGATATACATTGATATGAGGAACCTAAAATTACCATAAATTTTTTTTTTTTTACAAGTGGGATATGTAGCTAATTTTAATAAAATTTTGCAAATTTCTACTTTGCGGAAGGACGACGCAGCTTGTTCACGGCTTGAAATGATCAAGCGAAAGGATATGGAAATTTCTTTTCAGCCACTGTACTCCTTTTTCTGCTTTTAATCTTTTGACAATTTGTATTCAACTTTTATTTATTTGCACAAAAAATACTCACCTGAAAGTTATTTTTTTATCGTCTCTGCACAAGACTAAGAAATAATATAATTACGATTTTAAATAAATTTAATTTCTTTCCTAACAAGGACGACACTCCGCAAAGAATTTATCTGAATCGCCAAGTAAGCCAAGTAATCACGTATGCTTGCAAATGAGAAAAACACATCAAATTCAAAGTTTTCCTTTTTCTATCTATGAGTGTTGAAACTTTTTCTTTGCAATTATTGTCACCACGTGGAGGTTGCCGTATGAAGTAAAAACGTTGAAACGAAAAGGCATTTGAGTTAAGTTAAAAAAGTGCCATGCATTCAACTTGGTTAGGATTTCTATGTTAATTATTATGAGGAAGTCGTCTCCAAATTAAGATATACAAAAAATTATCTCATCGAACGGCTTCACGAATACAAAAAAAATTGCACTTTCCTGCTTTAGATCGTTTTTCGTGATTTAATTTATATCATTAAATGGTAAGAATATTGAAGCAGATAAATCCGTGCGAATGTAGATGAATCGAATCATTGGTCACTAACATATAAATTTCCGTATTTTAAGCTTGATATTCTATAAGTAATGCGGGCGAATATCCGTCGATAAAATATAATTTCTCATAAACACCTGATTATATCTAAAACAGCTTTTACAAATGAATTATATGGCGATGCTTATAGGTGATTATATATGGATGATTTTAATGCCGCTAGCATTAGATAAGTCGTTCCTTGATACAGTGATGCAAAATTCAGAAGTGCCCGCAGTTCTTCATGTCCTTGTATTAATGCAATGGAAGCTATACTTTCAAGTACATTTGGATGCATGCACAATGCACAATATAAACTTAAATTTAAATGTGATTGTTGTGAGCATATAAAAACATATGTATTTATATTTAAGTACATTCCTCTATTACAACTCACCGTTAAATTCTCCTAATTTTACAGCAGTCGTGAAGAAACAGATTTGACTACAAGAGAAAGATAGTGTAGTAAGTAGATGTATAAAGCAAAGTGAGATAGACTATGCCTCGGCTGTGAACATCTTTTTGTTATAATTTTCGGGAAGATCTCCGATATGGCTCCATGGTGAAAGTATTAATTATGCAGGTGAATGAAAGTAGGGCAATAAAAATTTTAATAGGACTATCTGGTATGTTTTGATTGATAAACTTTACGATTTGTTCAATTTTTGGTTCGGGCTCGAAGTGGGGGCCAGGATACACCATCGAGCGAGGATTGGGTTTATCTCCCAGTCCTTTAATGATATTTATGCTATTAAAGACAAATTTTCCGAAATATAAAAAAATGTTGACATAGAGAGACAATAAAAAGTTTTATAAATATTTATCCGTAATTTATTTACCTGTTCGTGCGTATAAACAAAACCGTCTACATTTAATACCGGTGTCTAGGAAAATAATTATTCTTTAATTAAATAAGTGAAAGACGCCTTTTTTACCTAGTATACCTAATACCTATACCTATACCTAATACCATCATGGCGGCTGAAGTATAATAGAAAAATTTAACTTAAAAAAAAATTGTCATCTTCCAGCAAAACTTCGTTTAAGGTACAGAAATTAATATCACTCGAGTTCAAGTCAAAATGCAAAAATTAACAGTTTTGAATATTATATTGTAAAAAAAATAAATATATTGTAAAATAGAAGCGGAATTCCACCGTGGAGTTTCCATGAGACAAAAATTTAAAACCGTTCCATCTCCGAGTCGAGTACTTGCAGACACTAGCCGTTATACATAGAACATGTCTATGAAAAAGAATACCTCCAATATCTCTACATTATTAGGGATATTTGCTTTCAAATATTATCGATGTGTTCAAGTTATCGAATTGTTTATATTATTTGGTTCAGTGTTTAGTCTCTAACTAACAACAAAAAGTTCACGTTTATTGCCTTCACGTTAACCAAAAGTAGTAATAATAACAATGAGTTTGACTCAATTAAAAGCCAAAGAAGTAAAGGAGAAACAGAATTTGTTACCTAAACTCAGGACTATTTTAGCAAACCCAATTAAAACCAAATGGTAAATTCACTATCACAGAACATCTAAAGTATTTCTTACCCGAGAAATGGCGTATTTTCCATTAATTTCAGTCCCACCTTAGAAGAAAATGAGTTCAAAGGCTTTTGTAGCTTGCTTCAGGATGTCATCCGTCAAAGCGGCATGGACGCACAAGAATTTAAAAGAGCTAAGAATATACAATTAGGTTTGGAAAGTTCTTTACGAGCAATTAATAATTGCCAGACTTGTTGCGTGTTTATATCATTGAGTATTAAACCTAATCATATTATCGGCATAATTGCACGCAATGCGCTAGTGAAGGATGAAACTCAACCAATTTATGTTCAACCCGATTTAGAAGATTTCACTCAACAACTATTTGGAATAAGATCTTTGACTTTGGTACTCCCTCGGCATTTACAAACAATCAGTCAAGAGTTATTTGAATGGGTAGAAAAAAGAAAAAAATCCAAAAAATTACCAAAAATCGTTAAAAATGAAGTGAAAGAGCGCAAAAGACCACAAGTCGTTAAAAATGAAGGGAAAAATTCCAAAAAATTGAAAATTACAAAAGCTGACGAAGAAGAAACCATCGAAAAAGTTGAACAAATGGAAACCAGCGGACCTTCCTCCCTTCAATGGTCAAGTGATTTCATTTCATTAGATAAATCCGGAAGCCACGACATGAATAAGAAAATGAAATTGGAAACTGAAGAAAAGGACGAACTTGAATCAACTCTATTGAGCATGATCAATGTTAAAGATACTCAAAAAGACGCAAGTAGCCAAGCAAAAAGTGTGAAATTAAATGAAATTGCATTAGGTAAGGAAGAGGCAGAGGACAGTGATATAGATGAAGAATTTCTAAAATATCAACCTGCGATTGTTCATTATATTCAACCTAATCCCAATAAAAAGAAAGATAGAAAAAGGAGACGTAAAAAGAATAATAAAAAAGAAAAGAATTAAAAAGAAAGAAGAACGAAACAAGTGGTAACTCTATCATTTACCAATAACAGCTGTTTGTTTGTTCTTCCATAGATTAAGAAGGGAGCGCTTACTCAATCGCTCAAGTAAAAATAACAATGCTCTTAAGAAATTATAATTTAATTCGCTTATTGAAGTCTGCAAAACTACAGCCTGTTTACCCAGGAGGTAATGCTGCCAAAGATTGTTCAATATTTGAAGAAAATGCAGCAAAACACATTTGTTTAACATCATTAACAAAAAATATACATTTTACCTCGTTTGTAAACAAATATAAAAAAACATCATCAACTCGTGATGATATGGATACGGATAGTGATGAAGAGACTGAAAGTGAATTTAAAAATGAACGTGATTCTAAAATAATTAAGGCTAAAGTTAATTCTCTAAGGGCTGATCTGGTCTTGAAAGCCGGCTTGAATGTGGCCAGAAAGCAAGTATTTCACTAAGAATGATCGTAATAAAAACCCAACTAAACTTGTTTTTTTAATTTTATTTACAGCAAAATAGAAATGCTTTTTTATGAAAGTAAAATTCGTGTTAATGGGAAGAAATTGCTCAAGAAAAGCATTCTGGTTTGTTTTAAAATATTTACGCAAATCAAGAAAAAAGTATATAAATATGAATACGCTTTCCTTCTCTAGCTAAATGAAAACGACGAAGTTGACGTTATTCGTGGTTTTAGTCAATCGAATCCTTCCCATCTAATTGTATCGCGAATTGTGATCCTCTCAGCCACTGGACTTGACGAAGGTTGCAGGGTTAATTTGCGGCGTTATAAAAGTTTATTAATAGAAAATTATAGTAAAGAAAATGCTTACAAGTCGTCTGAAACCTCGACAAATCAATAAAAGAAAACCGCTGAGATGAAGGAAAAATTTCCTGCCTTATAAAGCACATATGCCGATGCGTAACATCGAGAGAGACGCTTCATAAACTTATCGAGATTAAGTAAAAGGAATTAGACAAATGTAGTTGAAAGTGAAATGTTTTGTTTTTGTAAAATAAAGTTTTAATAAGTTTATATTTTAATTGAAAATTTTATAAATAATATTCAATACTGATTACCACATTCTACATTTGTCTGCGGTAGGATTCATTTTGCTTCCTAACGGGCAATTATACGCTTGAGCAAAATCATAATTATTTGTAACGGCTCCTAAGGTTCGATATTTATCGATGGGATGATCATTTAGAAATTCTTTCCAATAGTCTGCTTCTTCGTACGATGAACACCAAAGTTGGGCGAAACTTAGAAAAAATAATTGTTCTGAAGACAAATTCATTCCTGGCATTTGTTCATCGTTTTTCAATAATCTTGAAAGACCAGCTTTCATTTTTGTACGCCGTGGATAAGCCATGAAGGCTTCGCGTAAACCACCGCTATCGGCAATATTTTCATCTTTCGTTAAATTCCCGTTAATGAAACGATTGATTTCTGGAATCATATATTTTTGGTAATGTTCCGCGTAACAATTGGAACGATCATTGAATGATTTGAAAGACACATTGGACCACCAATATCTACTGTTGCCGTCACTGTCGTAATTAACACCAGTTGTATCAAAACCATGGGTGAATTCATGACCTAATAAATAACCTAATGTGCCAAATTTTACGGAATCTGGCCACGCCTTATGATAAACCGGAGGATGCAAAATGCCACCCATAACGTACACAGCATTTTCAAGATTATAATAAAAAGCGTTGGGTTGCATCCCGATCAAAATATCTAAAGGTCTGGTTGTATTGCTGATATCTTCCGCATGCAAGCCGCTATAACGTTTCATGAATGCTCTAAATTTTCTCAAATTTAGATTATTCGCTTCATAATTATCCTCCGCAAAAGTTAAACTTCGCATTTCACGTATAAGTCGGTTAATTAATTCTGGATCTTCAGAGCGTCCAACATGCACCACAATTGACGACTCCTTTCGCAACGCTTCCTGTCGCGTCTCCTCATCCAACCAATCAGCTCCGCGTAAAATACTTCTCAAACTATCACGAATTATTTTAACCATTTCTTTCACATCTTTACGAACTCCTTCATCGAAGTATGTCTGCAAAATAAAAAGTAATTAAAGATCGAATCTCCTTTTAAGTTGTTTTCAAGTGGAATAACAATCAAATGTAGACGAAGTAATATTTATAAAAAGAATTCCTGGTTTTAGACAATAAGCATTCAAGGATAAATGGTTACGAGTTTTACTTCCTGGAAATAATCAATTTCGGTCAACGTTTGCGAAACGTCCGCAACACATAAAATGCATTACCGTGATCACGTCTGCAGACCTCACTAAATCATTCAATCAGCAGTGGCGAGGGTGATCTCTACAAAGGGAAGGAACGTGCGGTTACGTCCGTAATCATGTATTGAGACATCAATAAATGATTCATTTGATAATAGCGACGGGCGTTGTGTACAAAAAGCAGGGACGTAGTCAATGTGAGTTAATGACTCACTCTTGCATGGGAATTCCAAGTTCATGTCAACAGTTTCAGCTCGCAATTGCAAGAATGAAAGTGGTTTAGTGGTTTAGCCGGACCTCTCGATCCAGGAAATACACGTTGATATTTTCATTGTAGCGCGCGTACAATCCAGGACATCTAAGGAATTCACAAACCTATTATTGCTCAATCTCATTATTGCTAGATGAAATTGTCTATTAATATATAATACATAATATATATTTGTCTAATTAAAAAGCTAATAGCCTGTAGAAGCAAAAACCAACAGGTACGATTTCACTTTTAAGAGCACACTTGTTTCACACTTACATAATCCTGAAGGCATCTATTTAATACATCAGAGTCTCGCTAGATACAAGAATTACGCAGACAAGTCACTCCACAAAGAACGGCTACGAATGAGTTGATTTTTGGACACAGTGGATTACTTTAAGCTAACTAGAGTAGTACATCTATGCAGTCTATGAAGCAAAAGCCAAAATCGGCTACCTGTTTCTTGATGGATTAAAAAAAGAAAGAGTGCAAACAATCCGCCGGGTGAAAGATACAGTCAATCAGTACTGATCAGTAGATCAGTATTTTAAGATTAATACAGAGCAACAGGTAATATAGAAATATCTGGAAAGCCTGTAGTAGTGTATGGACTGCTTAGGTCCACCGACCGAAAGACAAAAGAAATTTACAAAATGCGATTTTGAATATATCGCGATAACTGTTAACAATACGATCAGGTTTAAGGGATAATTTCAAAAAATATACAACTGACAGGAATCGAAAAACTATTTCTTAATCCCACAAGGTCATGGAAAGGCCAGCAGGCTTCCTACAAGCTTCCAACAAACAAAGGAAACATTATAAACTTGTGTGAAGTGGTTGACGATAAGCTGACTTTATCTTCAAGAAGAAAGAATTGAAGATTCCGAACATGCTGGTTCCATGGCTGGATATCCTACAAATGGCCTAAAAGTTGTAAAAACTGTACACGTTTGGCGATCTTTAACTTGAGGCGTCCATTTTGATCTGTTTGTGTAAAAAATTACATTTAGGGGCACAGTCTGGCGTCGGAATCATAAGAAATAACTATATGTTTTCTTGCTTTACAATTTTTCTCTTGACTCTGTATCAATTTTGATATTCGGGAGCAATGGTCAGATTAAAACATTTTAAATTATGCAAACAACAGAGAAGAAAATGCCTTGTCACTTGTGTCGTCCCGATGATGTCAAGTCGGATTACGAGTATTAGTCATAGCCCGATAGCTAATCAGTTCAAGCCGTGTCGAGAAGGGGGCAAATTTTATTACAAATTGTAGTTTATGAGGGAACGCGAGCTCGCGCGGGCGCGTGGTATGCAATGAATTTCTTATCATACAAAGATTGTGATTGAAATGATTTTAAATGTTTCCTGATGAATGATTTTTGCACAAACTGCTGCACTCACTTATCGAATCATTCTTGATTCGTCTTTTTATCCAAAGTCCTAGATAAGACAGATTCATACGTAATTTGAGTTAATAGTCTTAGTGAAATCATTTTGTGAATAAAATTTTAATAGCTTACCTTCATATATAGTTGATCAAATAGAAATGGAAATGTTTGCATTATTTGTCTTTTGCAGTAATCCCTTTGATATTTCGTATCCGTTAATTCGAATGCATTCAAACGATAAAGAAATTTAAGTGATAAATAATTTGCCATAGCTTCGCTGTGTTCCTTGCTTATGTTATTTAAATTTTTATAAAAAAATAAGCAAGGCATTGGTTCATTTGTTTCTTCATCACTGAAATTGAATTCATTTCCCATCCAAGCGATTTTATAATAATTCCGCCATTGAGCGTAAAACTCGGTATCTTCAGCTAATGATATATTAATGAAAGCATGACATTGGAGTACATTTTCATTAATTTGTTCAAACACTTTCAGAATGGCTTCAAAAAACTTGAATATATCGTTAACGATTTGATCAATTCTTTCTTCTTTAACACCATGAATCTTCAATAAATCAATCATAAGTTTTTGATTTGTTAAATACGCATTCGAAGTATTTTGCACATTATCATAATGCATTTCAATGTCTAGACCTATTCTTGGTAATTTGAAGAACGGACCAAAAGGATATTCCGTACTAAGGGCTTCGTTAATTAAACCTTTGATGCCGTAATTACTCATATGAGCGCTCATATTTAACCAATTAAAGTTCTCGGCTTGCCATTCGGGATCAATAGCAGGAAAACCACCCATTGCTTCCAACGCTTTTAAATATTCCTCAGATTTATGCGGCGGATGTATTTGGGCGTTAAGGCAATTATTGTAAAATTTTTGCGCTAAGAAAAATTCATTTGAATATTCTGGAGCTAATTGATCGATACTCGATTGTAATAGAAAGTTTTCAACGATATCCATAAGTTTGTAACGAATATCTATTAAATTGTTACGCTTCGATGGAGCTTCACGATCGTCGATAACATTCTTCCAATTACCACAAGCGTATTCATAAAAATCTTCGCATGGATCTATAGATCGATTCATATAGCTTAACATTTTGGCGGCATATTTATTACGAAAGTCGATAATCTCATCGGGCATAGCGTTTGCTTTATCATAAAACTCTTCCTCGTTTTTATTCACCTCATTATCGCTGATATTGAAACGTAATTTTGCTCCATCTAGACTTATTATATGAATTAGGGCAAGTAACAGTAGTGACAACGAACGGTGTTCAGATAAAGTAAACATTTTATTTATTTTATTTTTAATTATTTTCTATTAAAATTTAATATTTTCTTATTGTTTTATTTAAAATTGAAGTTTTTTTTTTTTTTTTTTTTTTTTGCTTAAGCACGCATAAGAAGTTAAATTGAAAGCGTTTTGTTAAGCTCTTCTTCACGTTGTGACAGAAACGTTTTTTCAATCTTAATAATGTTTTGTTGTTTTTGTCTTTCCGACTATACGGCAAAGAATTCATACAAACACTGATCTCTTTTCAAAACAACTGTTAAGTTATTTTTTTTGGTAGCTAATGAATAGTAAGTTCGGAGGGTTCAACGATAATGCACGACTGGTATACTAAGTTTGTCATACAATTATTCACTCACTCATCATGCGAATTTTCAACTGAGGAAACTCAAATAACTTCGCATCCAAAGATCACTACACTTCGGTATATCTGTCTATTATCTATTTCTGTTAAAAACTTTCTGCATTTTACGCAGAGAGATATCATGAAAAGAAAAATGAAGTAATGAAATATTTGAAGTTTGGAATGGAACCTGGAAAAAAGACATGTAGAAAATATTAATCTATTTTCTACAAATTTCATACTTGACGATCCAATAAATGTCCTTTAAGTAGTAAATGATTTAATCAGAAAAGTGGAGGAACTGTATTTCGACATCGCTACTGTGTCTAGAGAAATAAAAACACGTCTGTCTCTATGACAAGTGGTTAGGAAGTGATGTTGTCCCTCTCCGCCCGATTGGCCGAGTAGGCAAAGGATCTCGGCTAACGACTCAATGGTCGTGGGTTTAAAACTCAAGTGCAGTGGAGTTTTTAATAAATCCGATAGCTAAAGTAGATGCTACTGCTTTAAGACTTTAATCTTAGAATTTATTTTTCTGGTTAAATTAATACTAGTAATAATGTTTTCCCAGATATAGATGAAATTAAAAGCTGACTGGTTAAATAGGTAGTGCCAACAATTGGATAGGTGAACTTCCCTTTACGTAAGGAAAACATTTTACAAAGAAGAGGGCTTCACTTAGATTACGTTTTTTTCAAAGTTAAATTTTTGTTATTCGGCACAATATGATCTTCGGGAAAATTTACTGCCAGCAAACGGTAATGTTATATGCATATTAAAGGCCTCGAAAATGATCTGCAAGAAAACTGGATAATTTTAAGAAGACCCAAGTCCGTGGTTTCAGCGACATTGCCTACAAAACATCTATTTTAGGTCACAATCCTTGGGCGTGATACTGAGTTAAGGCTACTTTAGAAGAATAAATCCTTATTATTATTAGTTTTGCTTTGACCCGATCCATCTGCCATGTAAATCTCCTTCTTGCGTATTTTCTCACTAAACAATAAGTAATGAATTTTAACTACACATTTTTCTTAAACAAAACAAATTAAATCGCTTTGATAAAACATATTTGCGGATAGAGATAATTGAATAATCATAATTTCTCGAGTATATTTCACGAATGACAAGTACGAATAAAATGCCCGCAAAAAAAAGTAGCGGATCGCACCGTCAAACACGAAGCGCCAAACTAATAGACGCTCTTCTAAGTGCTCGAAATAAAAAACAAGTATGAGAATTATGTTCCGCCGTGACCGCATCTTTTACACCTATCATCGTTTTCCTAAAAAAGATTAAAACAAAGGAAAATGCTAGGCGTGAATAACGAACAATGATGAAACCCGGAAAGCAAAGGTATTCCCAATTTTTATTGGATAGTTGTGTGGGCATATCCTTTCACCCTTTTGGTTAATTTCACATTCTCCTGCAAAATTGTTGCCGATGAAAGAACGTTTAGAGCAGATGTTACACAGTTCGACAGGCGGACAGGCGGATAGACGAGGTGCATTCCAAATATGAAATTTCTAAGGTCTTTGAACCTTGCTTCTGAGTATTATAAAGACATTGAAAAAAAAATTTATTTTAATAGATTATAATATTGGACATGCATGGTCATCTCTGCTGCAGTTTATTGGTAATGAGCAAAATGCTAATTTAAAAACGGAGGTGTTTTCAGCTCAGGTGGCACTATAAGCGAGTCCTTTGCGTGAGTTGGTCCATTCCAATACCAACCTGGGTGCAAGAGCTTCTAATTTTTCTGCTAAATTTGAAGTCAATAGCTTCATTTTGCATTTATAAGATACGTTACGGACGGACCGATTCAGAATTTGACGCTTTGAAAAAAAAAATGTTGTAGGATTTAAAAAAAAATGTTTTGACAATCATTAAGTCTAAAAAATATTAAACATTATTTTGTCTGCAAATACCGGCGAATAGAGGAAATAAATACATGAATTTTAATTTTCTGAAAGCTTCTAAACATTATTTTAATTTTATTTATTTTTCTGCCATTCGCTAAAGCAATGATCTCCATGATACTTCTGTACGCACATATAATTAAATTACAATCTTCTCAAATCGTGTTTACAATCTTTTCAATGGAAATAAATCGTTGTTTAACATTAGGCTCAACGCTTATCAGTTGGCATGATTCCGTCGAATATAACCTTTAACTTGATTTCCTTTTTGTTTACATTTCCGTATACTAAAGAATTTGGTTTATGCAATAAGGTATCTTAGGTGCGGTATCACGCTGTTTAGTTATCATGTCTTGGCATATGGAAAATAGAACCAAAAAATGATTAACCTAAAGCGTAACATTTTTAATTTTCATATACATATGGGAATATTGAACAGTAAAGTCACCAAAACATATTTCACTTCGGTGAAGAGACTCATTGCCCATCAAAGAAAACGTTGTCGTGTTGTTACATAGACTTAGTCCTTTCTTGTGCTGCATGAACCATAAGATGTTTCTACGTTTTTTTTTAGAAAATCTGAACGTTTGTAGCGCATCACAAGATTCTTGGGAGCCTCTGCAAAATTTTGCCACCAAGTTACTGTTGCGGCTTGTTTCAGTTTTAAGCTATCTCCGACTTTCTTTCTTAAACTTGATATCAGGAGACATGACATAGCTCAACTCTCAGTTCATTATCTTGATTTATCTTGTCTTGACCGACCATCAGACACCCACACCACTGTACTTAATTATTAATGGTCCAAATATTATACATAATTTTGATATAAATGCATTAGTTTCACGAAATGCTTTTTATTGGAGAATACTCAAACGTAAACGTGGCCTAAGCTTTGTCGTCACAGAAGAGTTTGCTTTCACCACTTTCTGTATACGGTTCAGTCAAAAGCATAGATCTTTGTAATCTAATCGCACCAATTTAGAATGAAAAGAATATCCCGATTTGCAGATTGAATGTAAGGATACATGGGCAGACAGCCCAGAAATCTTTTTCTAAATTGATCAGTAAGAGAAGAGGTCTATTTCAAATCCTTCTGAGTATGACAACTGTTTGCTTACGCTTAATATACCCCGTCTCACAAATGGTGTAGGGTATAATCAGTATAAAAAGTTTTGATTGAGAGCATATTTCACATCTTGCCCTCTCTTTAGTTTTTTTCCATGTTTTACATTCATTGTTACTACTTTCTGTAATAGTATTAGACGAATAGGGGTAATTCCTGAGTGGTTGGTCATAGGATAGAAGGGAAAAAAATGTAAGCCCTAATATCCGAAGCCACTGAAACGTCGACGTAGTCTAAATTTAGCAAAATTTAATTAAAGATGTCGAAATATATTCAAATTCAAGCGAAGACTCTTAGCATATTCCTTAACAGAGCTCTGTAAACGCTCTAACAGAGCCTCGTCAAATATTTAAAATTAAGATATGGATGAATTTGAAAACCTACTCCGTTCGTATTGAAAAACGTAAAATATTTTTGTGGACACGTCATGAGTGTACATGAAAATAACTTTCAAACAAGCTAAACAAATGCAAATTCTGCTTATAGTTTATGTATATTATTGTTTACAATTTCTTTAAAGTTTGGCATGTCGGCGAAAAGTAAGACTCTAGCGTGACCAAACGAAAGAATGTCATCTATTTTCAGCAATATATAGAATATAAATTTCTTTAGCTTTTTTGAAAGATTGATGAAGTGTCCACATTCCTAATCTGACCGGCGTAGACTTCCAACTCCAACTCTATATTATGTCTCTGTTTATAGAGTTCTATTACGGCGTTTACACAGCTCTGTTAAGGATTGGGTCGGGTGTGTTTGCTAGTTAAATTGGAATTCATCCTCACACCCTTAACTTAATTTACTTTTCAAAGATTTTCTTAATTAATTCCCAGTTACTTCCCCTATAACAAATCAGAGATTAGACTTTATCGCCATGTGGCGCAGTCCACTAAATCTATGTAATTCAAATTCCGATTAATTTCTACACTACATTGCTACTACGGACCATCAACGTAGAGCATTAAAAATTTGACCTTTTTGGGATACAAAGGGTTAATATATCATGACAATCCTTGTATGCGCTGATGACCAGAAAGTAAATTTACTTTAATCCAAAATTGATATAGTTGAGTCTTATATAGAATTACTCTCTCGATATATAATGTGAACAATTGAGCATTTTTGCCATTCTTATTAGATTGTGATCGAAAAACTTGATCTACGTTGTTCAAATTTTCTAAGGTTAATTTTTATTTCAAATTATTAATTTGACGTTAATAGTTTCAATGGGGACGGTTATGCGATAAATTTTCCCAAAGTTTGCATACTAACTACTAAATCACTTTTGCCGAGAAATTCTAAATATTACAACATTTTTTCTTATAACGAGTTATCAAAACAAGGCGTTTTATGGGGAGCGGTAGAAAAAATGAACCGATCCAAGCCATTTTCATCAAAATATTCCAAATATCAAGATAAATTCGAATTTAACTAGCAAAGACACTTGGACACTTCCAAGGACTTGGAATCCAACTTCGTTCCAAGTAAAATATATTTGTGAACCTGAACCTATATATAAAAATACCATTTTCAAGTGAAAAAATGGCCAACATTTTTATTTACAAATTTTGTGCCCGCAATCTTCTAACTTCATCATCCACCTCCCTGAATTGGCGTGGCTCCACGTAAATATCAACATTCTCATCATTATTGTTGAATTTTGTGCAGCGCTGTACAAACGTACCCAATTCTTCGCAAGTTTTCGGAACATAGCAGCACTTCCGCACTTCCTGCAGAATAGCCCAGCAGCCTAAAGAAACGTTCAAAAATTCTAGTTAGATTTTCGGAATAATGCAGTACTAATCTTTATACACACCAATGCATCTTTCCACAATTTTTCTTTCCTTTTCCCATTGTCACTTGAAAAAAATGCAGTTTTTTTGGTTCTTTGATTTTTTTTTTTAACCGCCTACCGTGCAGCCATGCATTGCTATCGTGTCCATTCCCATATTCCAATAATTTTCCATGTAAACTCTTTTACTGGTGTGTCTACAATTTTTATGCGCTTCTTCTCGTACTTTACCGATTTTTATGCGCTTACTCTCGTACTTTACCAATTTTTATGCGCTTATTCTCACATTTTTCGCTTACTCTCGTACTTTATCAAATTTTTATACAAATCCTTGAACAAATGTAAACAAATTCAGACGCTTATTTTCACATTTTTCGAATTATTGAGAATTGTATACGCTTATTCTCGTACTTTACCAATTTTTATACGCTTATTCTCACATTTTTCGCTTACGTTCTTGCTTCGCTTTACGGTCATCTCTTATTACTTTTCTCGGCCATTTTAATAACTACTTTTTGTTGTTTTACTCGTTATTGTAGTCATTCTTGTTACTTTTTCCAGTCATTATTACTACTTTTTACCTAATCGGAGGGTAATCATGTACGAAAAATTCAACTTTCGCTGTTGTTGGCTGCTTTCGCCGAACAGCTGAACACAATAGCGAGAGTTAACTTTCAGCTAATACTTGAAAATCGGACGAATCTCATTCCGATTCTGGTATAAGGGTTCTTATTTTCACTTGTTGGCGCCGTCAAGCAGTGTTTTTATCACATATGACAAATAAGGTTCGTGGCGGATTTTGTAATGTGTGTGTGTTAAGGAGAGTGCAATAAAGCAAAATGAAATTAAATTTTGAAAACGTATTAAGTGTTTACAATATTGTAAGTTGATTATTTCGGAATAACATCACAATATTTTTCGCCAGCCAATCTTTCTTTTTATTTCAGTTGAATGCAAAAGCAATTGTCTGCCGTATAAATGTTGAAACGAGTAAAATGGGAAACAATTGCCGCTGTTTAAACAATCAACAATGGAAGATATTTGATAATGGATTACAATCATTGGTTGCCGATTTTGGCGATCACTGGGATGATAAAGAGCAGCAAGAATTTCTTCTATACGAAGATATAAAAGTGATAGTAAAAAAGTGGAATGTTTCTTTGAAAGCGTTAAGCGAAATTTTTGCAGACAATTTACTTAATGCAGGTAATGTAAAATTGGCACTAGATTGTTGCATTACGCGGAATCCGAAAAGAGTAAGTAAGTATTCACTAAATTATTTATCAGGACTTAATGGAATTTTTTCTCCTTCGATAGGCGATTGATGATGCAAGGAAAAATCCCTTGGAATATGAACCGGAATATGTTGGTATGAGTTCGGATGATAAATATGGCAAACCAATACCTTGCGTGCCCTATACGCCTTCACCGAAAAAATCAGTTAATATTATAGATAAAACAACCGATAATGAATTGTTGGATCACGACTTGTCAGAAGATATTTATTTACCCAAGCCTTTACGCAAGAGCAGCGACGATGATGCTGATCAGGAAATGCACTCACCACCTGAATATAAACCGGCGCCAATTAAATCCGATGACAATCAGTTATCCACTAAATGTTTTGAGGATGAAAATCTAAAGCCTAATGTTACGTACAGCGAATTATGTTCTAAATCTAAAGAGGAGGCTTTGAAAAGCTTAGAGTATACACCAACATCCCAAAGCGAAAGCAACGCAAAGCTGAAACCTGTACCTAAATATATACCAACACCGATACCGACACAATATTCCACCAAAACAAAAGGGATGAAAGTAAATAAACGAAAGCTAACAAAAAAACTTTTTTCTGAATTGCGATTTTCACAAGAAAAGAGGGATCTAACATCTAATAAAAAGAAAATAAGTCAAAGTAAGGAGTCGTGCGAATTAGCTAAGGAAGCAAATGTGTTTAAGGAAAACATACCAGTGATTAACAATACTAAAGAAAATAAGAACACTTTAACCGCCGCCCTGCCTAAGCAACAAGAATATGAAGATGATGCGGAGGACAATCTCGTTGCCAAGGAAGCAAATTCAAACAAATCGACGATTATTGTTGATAACGCTTTCTTAAGGCGTTCTAAACGCTCTCCAATAAAGCCGAAGCGACTTATTGAAGAACAAATCGAAGAAAAAAAGAAGCTTAAAACTCCTAAAATATCGGCCAGAAATAAAGAACTTTTTGGTTCAGATGATGACGACGATGACGACGACGACGCTGATCAATTGAATTCCCTCAACAAGGATAGTGAAAAATGTTATACACCTGGCAGCAGTTTACAAAAGAAACGAAAACTTCATCAAAGCACAGACTGTGAGCGGGAAAAACGCGACATAAGAAATTGGCTTTCAAAGAACAGACCTACGTCAAGCTCGAGTAAATCGGTTTTTTCAAAGCATGCTAAATTATCGACAAAAACTAGGATGGAGGAAAGTAATGAGGATAAAATTGAAATCGGAACAACTCCTACCAAAGAAGAGATTAAAGAACGCCTTGAGCAGCATAGATTGGAAAAAGAACATCAACTTAAAATAAAAAAAATCTTACAAGAGATGAAACCAATTTCCCCAAAAAAAGTTGAATATTTGTGAGTTATAGAATTTTTCTTAGAAAAATTTTTATTTATTAACATCATAATGTCTTATTACATACAAAGATCTTTGCAAAAATTAAGCGTAAGTGAGCTATTAGATACCTTTGATGAACACAAATCCAAATTGGATAAAATCTATGAAATATATCAGCGAAAAAGTTACGTTAAAAGTCACCAAGGTATCGACCATTGCTTCGTTATGGATCTCATCGATCCGAAATTGCAGACAAAAATGTTGGAAAAAGTCTCCAAGGTTTACAAAAGCAAGCACAATACGGCTGTAAGTGTTAACTAATTTTTATGTTCTTTAATATTTCACATTATCCAGCGTTCCTGTCTTCTTTGTTTTCCGCATGTTTCGTTAGCATGTCACATTGTTTGCGAATGCCATATTACCAGAATGGATATTAAACATTTTCATGAATAAATATAGCTTAGATCGTGAAGAAGCTATTGAACAAGTAAGAGCCCAGGATGCATATAAACTACATGTTCAAGACGAGAGCGATACATCCTTTCTTTGAGTTTATTTGATCTGTAATTATTATGTTAAGTTTTACTTTTGTTATATATTCTTGTGTACAATTTAATAGTCCCATTTATAAAAGGCGCTTTTATGTAAAAAAAAGGAACGTATATATGTTCATTATCACCTCCGCGTAAACGACATACAACCACCTACTGCTACGAAGAAAATCAAATCGTTTCCGTACGAAACTGATTAAAATAATGACTGCCAATATCTTAGCTTCGCTTAATCAACGACAGTTCAATGGAGACCGGAAGATAAGTCATTCGATTCCACTCTTCGAAACAACAAGCAGCCGATAATAACCTAGCAAATCAATAATAATGGCTACATACTTCTTTCGTGAATGGATAGTGCCTGTTAGCAAATAGGCAGCCTTAGAATAATTACGCCTTACACCACTTGTGTTACAAGGGTGTATTAACTTTTTGCGAGCGGTCGGAACATTCAGGAGGACTTTAAGTAGACATAGCTTTTATTATACCGATCGATGCAGAATCACTTTTTGCATCGGTCTAAGCTCGTCCGTCTACCTGACTTGTTTTTTGTGTTCAACCTACACGTCGCAACAATTAACGCTATTGAAAATGGTTCAGATGGGACCATTGTTTCGATCTTCTTCCACTTCCATTATGACACTTTATTTCGAAAAGTTGTTGTATCGATAACTGTGGCGTGTAGGGTGATGTAGTGTATTTAACGATGGGGCGTGCTCCACTTTTGCCCATTTATTAGCTTTTCAGAAAAAGCATTTCAACTATTATTAATACTCCCTTCCAGCTAAAGGGATGATTTGCTTATTTAAAGTGGAACTCACTTCACAATGCTGGCAAAGCATTTTGATTGTTGATTACATCGAACTTCGAAGGAAAAGCCTGTCTATTTCCTAGCCTTGACAAACGCTTCCAATCATTTCCCCTTAATTTAGCTAAAATCGAATATTAGTTCTTTTAAAAAACTTTTACTAAAATCTTATGTTAATTATTTGGGACATGATTGAAACGGTTCATTTTCAGCTGGAGTTCCTCGCCACCAACAACGTTATTCAAAAAGGAACAATAAAAACGAAGCTTACTTTTATTTAATATTAGAAAAGTGAAAGATTGTGCTTACCCCAACGCTTGTTTTGGACATTTTGAAAACTAAAACTTAAATATTCATTTAAAAATTTATTTGTTCTTTATTTTATACTAAATGTACAATTGATCATTGATTCCCTCTAACGAAGTTATCATGAACTGGAAAATTGTTAAAATGTAACGAAATCTAATCTGATGTATGTAAATATTTGACTTCCATTGCCATCATCTCTCATCATTGGAAATGTATATTGAAAAGCGTAGACATCGATGTACAAAGCGAAATGTTCGTTAACGCTGTGTATAAAAGATGGTTCAAACAAAATGCTTTTCAGGAAAAAAAAAAATGTAAAAAAGTTGCAAGTACATATATATATATACATATATGTATGTAATACAATAAATAATTTTCACAGTAATAATTTGCACAATAAATAATTTCAAGCATAATAAACATTAATAAATGCGCAATGCTCGGTATGGATGGAAGGCAACGTTAAAATGTAGTTATGCAATGAACCAAAATGCCTACCAAAATCAGTCCTTTCGCAATGTTATCAATGTAACATCTATTTACATAGCTATAAATCTTTCTCTTGTTTCATTTAAAATTATTCTCACTGCTACGCTTTCTTAAAGTTCATCATGCTCATCGTGTTCATCGTGCTCGGCGGTATCATCTTCATCACCAACGTTACTATCGCCTGTCGCTGCCTCTTCTGCTTCAGCTTCGACTCCATCGTCGTCATCCATTTCAATTTGCTCATGTAAGGATATACCAAGAGTTTGACGCATCATCTTTTCGATACTATCAGCGAAACCCGAGGTTTCTTGCAACATATATCCAGAGCGCAAGGTGGCAGTACGGAACATCATCAAGGCCATCTCCTTTGCAACATCGTCGGCCTCATCAGCTTCTACACGTCGTAACAATTCACGCATTAGCGGATGTCTAGGATTGATTTCTAATGTCTTCTTTTGATTCAAATAGTAGGTGCGCTGAGGATCGTCCGATTTCTGATGAGCGTTTGACATAGCCAAACGTTCCATGTTGCCTGTCCATCCAAACAAACCAGCCACCAAAGCGCACGGCGAATTGCTTAAACGTTCAGAAACTTCGGCACGCAATATTTTCCCTTTCAAAGCATCGTCGCTTAACCACTTCAATAAGGGCTCAAAGGTAGATTTCAATTTTTCAAATTTGTCTTTATTCTTTTCCGAATCAGTTAAGGTGAAGCCCTCTTTGGCTATGTTTTGGAATTTCTTGCCATCGAATTCAGGCAAAGAGGAAATGCAGTATTCATCGATAGCTTCAACCAAGTAGAAGATTTCGTAGCCCTTCGCTAAAAGACGCTCAACAAATGGTGATTTTTCCACCTCAGCCCGATTCGCACCTGCAAGATAGTAAATGTGTTCTTGTTTAGGTTTCATGCGTTCAACATATGCGGCCAAGGAAGTCATGCTTTTGCCATTGGATGAATGGAACCGTAGCAATTTGGCAAGACGTGCACGATTGCTGGGATCTTCGACAACGCCCAATTTAATGCTAAAATACAAATATAACAAACAAATACAATATAAATGAAGGGATTTTTTTACCAAATTTACGCGACATACTTTGTGGAGTATTCTTTCCAGAAGTTTTCATATTCTTTCTCGTTAATTTTTTTGATCATATCTAGCACTTTTCGTACCAATTTTTTCTTTATAACTTTAATAAGCTTGTGTTGCTGCAAGGTCTCACGTGATACATTCAATGGTAGATCATCGGAATCCACAATGCCGCGAATGAAATTCAAATAATTCGGCATCATATCGTTAAATTCGTCAGTGATGAAGACACGACGTACGAACAGCTTAATATTATCGGATTTTGTGCCGTAACGATTGAAGGACTCGGAAGGCTGAACCGTTGGGATATATAATAAACTCTTAAAGGTGACTTCGCCTTCGGCAATGAAATGCGTATGAGTTAAAGGTTCTTTAGAGTCTTTCGTCAAAGTCTTGTAAAAGTCTTTGTATTCATCTTCAGAAACTTCACTGGGTTTTCTTATCCATATCGGTTTACTATCATTAATTAAGCTCCAATCCCATTCTGTCTTAGTCACTTTCTTTTTCTTTATTTTACGATCGGGAGTATCTTCTTCAACCTTAGCCTCATCCTCCCCCTCATCGACACTATCTTCTTCAGAAGTGGATAATTTTTCTTGCGGTTGGACTTCATCACCGTCTCCTTCATCTTCAACGACTTCCTCCTCTATCGTTTTACTTGACCATAGCGTAATTGGAAAATTGATAAATTGCGAGTATTTTCGTATCAATTCGCGTAAGGTGTCTTCTTCTAAAAAGTCTTGAGCCTCTTCTTTTAGATGCAGAGATACAATGGTACCGCGTTTTAAGCTATCACCTCGTGGATCTTCAATAATACTGAAATCGTTCGCGTCAGACTGCCAGATATATTGTTTGTCAGCATTATTTTTTGTTGTGACTACAACACGATCCGCAACGAGGAAAGCTGAGTAGAAACCGACACCAAACTGCC